AACAGTTTATACAAGCGTGGACAGATCAGATAAGAATGGATCGGGGAGAGGGAAGGAGGGAGGATTTAGGTGAAGAGAAAGTGACAACTCCTCTCACCCACACACTCAACCCCAGATGGTAGATCATGCTTCTGATGGGGGCTTTGGCTGCCGTAGTTGCGGTTCTGCATGCTGGTATGGAGGAGAACGATGCGCTTCCCTCTCCACAGATGCATGCTTTCTGTGCAAGCATGCATCTGTCAGCAACTGAGCTGCCAGAAACTTTCCCTTAGCACCTGGACCAGGCTGAGGTTAGACCATGTGTGTGTGTTACATGTATCGGTGAGGCAACAGCAACCTTCCGTATCAAAATAAATGTTCCAGCGACCGACTTTAACCTGGTGGGATGGCCACCTGGCTGCCAGGTATGTTCTCCAATCACAGAGCCCAATTACTGATCTGAATACGTCAGAAAGCTTTTTCTTGGTCATGGATCTTACAGAGGGTGTCTTATGTGCCAGACCAGCAAAAAGTAGCTCATAAATGTGAGATGGGAGGAAAATGTTTTATAAAATTAAAGAGTAGATTCCATGATGGACTGGCAATCTGTCCAGGATGAATCCTGCTTTTCGCCTGTTGACCGCTGCAGATGGGCACCAGCACCCACTGAGGATAAACATGTAAGAAAATGGATAGATGGATGGAAATATAAGATTTATATTTAGCTCTCCCTCTGTTTGGAGCTATTGGTCTCAACGTCTTGCCTCAGATTCATTTGGTTTTATGTCTAGACTTTGAGTTTCTCTAACAGGTAGTCTTCCAGAATTGCTTTGAATTTAGCTCCATCCATCATCCGATCAATTTTGATCAGCTTCTCTGTTCCTGCTGATCCACAGGATCACCACAGGATGATGCTGGGACCTCCATGCATCATTATAGGGACGGTATGTTAAGACTGCACACAACGTCCATGTAGAGCGTACCGACTGCCTGCACTTCTCATGACAAATTTCTTAATTTCCCACAATCTGAATGGACACCAGCAAGTTTGATGAGCCAGTTGGGTGCCTAGCCCCATTTCTTGTCCACCTGGGCAGCCAACACACAAATGCTGCACATCCTTGCAACTGTTTGCAGCAACTCTCCACATTAAAATAAGATAATTCCTTATTACTCCCAGCTTGGTGTTGTATTCAAAACAGTTAAAGTGAATGTCGTTTCCCACTGAGAATGATGTGAAGATTGACCTTTGTACAGAGGCGTCTGGTGGACAGATAAAAGCAGACCTAAAAGCAGATTTAGGTCTGCTTTTAGCATGAGTGAAGTTCATCTGAGCATGTGGGGGCTTTGAAGGATTATGTGCTCAAGTTAAGGCTTCCCCAGATACTCAGATGTACTTCACTCTGCATCAGTCCGCATGCATTCGAGGTGAATTCAATGCAGACTCAAAGGTAAAATTTTAAGTCTTGTAATGGTAAAGGTCCCTGCATACTCAGCCGTACATCCTGGCGTACTCAAAGCAAAAGTCGATTTTTATGATGCCGTATGTGTACTTGTTGTACAGTAAGCTGCTTGGCAGAAAACAGTGTTCACATTGTCATGAGAGATGTAGGTAATCGGTTCACCTGACAATGAAATCTCAACCATCCATAGACAGAGCGGGTGAGGAAGCCCGCACCACTGACAGGTCAGAGAGGACGGCGCTTCACATAATGCCACTTTATTCCTAAACTGTTAATGAAAGGTGAGGTTAAAAAAAAAAAAAAACAAAGGCCCCAGTTAAACCTCCTGTCCACTAGAAGAGTTAACATCTTCTTGAAAACCACATTGTGTTCTGGGTGGAGGTAAAAAAAACAACAACATTGTGAAGCATCATAGCTAGGCAAGTGGCGTCTCCCAGTTTTAGCCAGAAATACAGATTTATTTCCATGGTTACATAGATAAAAACACACAGAAGACCTCACATTGTAAACAGCTGAGCTGTCTGAACGGTGATTTACTGCCCAGCTCAGATAAAAAGTTAAAATCCTCAGCATGCCTTTCATCACAACTCAGTATCTGTGCAGATCATCATAAAATTGTCTCTTAAAAGAGGGTGTAGCACCGTAACTCTCAGCTACCTGCCACTATAGTGTGTATGTGTGTGTGCAGTCGAACTGTGATCAAATGACTTCAGAGAACAGAAAGAAAACCAAAAAACATTTACTCATTCGTCAAACTCGATGAAGACCAACAGAGGCCAGGTGGCGTGGCTCTGTGGCCAAACGCAGAAGCATCTGTGTATGAGCGCTGATATTTCAGCAAAGAGGAATGGCCTTCGTTCACGCTGTGCCATAATTAATGGCTGTCAGCGGCTCTTTAGTGGAAGGAGGCGCTGACAGACAGCACTCCAGAAACGCAGGGAATGCGTGAACGCCTCACAGGGGTGGATGAGGGAGCCTCCCAGCTGGGCCAAACAGGTCGCTGAGGCTGGGATGGATCCCCCATTCACCGCCATTCGAGGACATCTATATAAAATGTAAAGGGGTGATCTTTATCTCTCAGCCTTAGCATTACATCCACAAACTGATGGTGACTGTTTCTGTTCAAACCACCCATGAGGGCAACGACTGGAACTGCTGGACAAATGGTCTGTCATTTTCTTTGTTGGAACGCCTCACCGGGGAAAAATCCAGATAATCACATTGTATAAGTTTTAAATAATTCATTTACATTTTAATGGTTCATGAAATTAGTATTTCATTCGGTAGAAAAATAGAACTCAGTATTTAGTACAGCTCTTTGTTTCTAACTTCAGGTCTCTTATAACAAGTTCAGATGCAATTAGAACAGGTAATGAGTGGAGGATTGAAGAGCTTGGTGGCAGTAATGCATCATGTTTTTTGGCAACCATCATTAAATTCTAGTCGAAGAAGGATTTTGTTTATTTATAAATTTGTGTAATATATTTAGCATGAGGTACAACAATGACTAACCTCTTGATAAATTGGATGTCTCAGAGGCCCATTGTCCTGCATGGTTTAGACGTTTCCTCACAGCTGAATCAAATGATTGAATCCTCTCTTTTGCAGCAATTGGAGGAAACAGCAGGGAAACTCCTAAAACATGCAGGTCACACACAACTAATAGTTGTCCTATTAACCTATTCTAACACTGCATACAGCTTTTTTACCCCTTGCAAACATCCTTGACACAATATTTGTTGTGAACTGGCAGGATAAAGATAAATTAAGTTGGACTAAGTCAGCCTTTTTGATTTTTTTAACTACATGTACAAAGTATTTGCTTCCTTACCGATTTATTTTCCGTTTTTGTCACATTTGCATGTTTCAATTTTCAAAAAAAAAAAAAAAAAATAGTAATTGCAAAATGCAGTTCCAATTTGATTTTGAGGTGGTTAACTTGGAAAAGTTGGAGCTTCAAATGTCTGCATTATGATCCAATCTGTCATAGTGTTAGTGGTTAGCATTGATTCTATGAAGCACTAAAAAACTGACTTCTCATACTAAATGTGTGTTACACAAAACTAAACCTTTATCTGTTAAAATCTGTTCCTCTTCTGTTGCAGTACAAACATTTTGGGCTTCGTTCGTCTTTCACTGTGAGCAAAATGAAAACTAAGTGGGCACTGCCACCTTCTGGTTAACAACAGCATGACAGGCTGTAAGGAAGTAAATAAAGGTGGAAAATATTTCTTGCTTACAAAAAATATATTTTCATTATAACTTCACCTTAAATAAGGTCCAGTCTCTGTAGAACATATTTAACATGATCAAATCACTGTTCTAGTTACATAACTGTTCTAGAACAGTTATGGATCCCAAAAGCAAACAATTCCTGACTCATGACAAATCTTTTTTAAAAACTAATTCTCTTTCATGGATCCTCAACACAAAAGAAAGACAAGGGACACATGGTAAAGGCAATTAAGGTATAAGTTTAATATTTCTGAAAAGAATGCATATACAAAGAACAAACTTTAGACAAAGCATTTGGTTCTGCACCAAAAACAACAACGGGTTATAATAATTATACTGACTTGGGCTGGAGGTCAACCCAACTCTAATCCACCAGTAAAAAAAAAAAAAAAAAAAAAAAAAAAAAAAAAAAAAAAGTCAGTCATTTAGGATCTTTACCAAACAGTCACTCTGGCCAAACTATGCTCAGACATTTTCTTGGTAAAACTGGCAGGTGAGAGTTCAGATGAGTTCCGACCCCTAAATGTGAAAGGAGTGAAAGTAACCTTTTTATATATTTATATATTTTATATATAATAATAATAACCATAAAAAAACAACACAAACAGAAATAACGAAGAAAAAAAAGGTTTTGGTAAAAACACCTGGAGCCTACATCAACGTTGTGTGCCAGCTTACATTATAATTACATCTGTTAAACCTATCATTTAGAACAGAGACCAAGGCTCAGCTACACACACCACCACACAGTTTGAATGGGCTATAACACACACCTCATATATGAACACTACAAGGAAGGCACCAAACTCTGACTCAGCGCAGAAATCTGGTGATCAGCTGTCTAAAACGCAACGCTCCGTTCATCAGGACGTCTGCTGCAGCGCTTCAAAGTGTGTGGCAGTGATGATGTTCCAACGGCGTCCTGCCTTACCCTCCCTTGGTCCCTGACAACGCATGAACAACACACCACTTGTTCTGCTAACACTGTTTAAAAGTTCTCTGCTTCTACAAAAAAAAAAAAAAAGAAAAGGCCGATTCCTGTGGAGCCGTCGGTGCTGGACGCCTTTGGCTCTTTGAGGAAAACGAGCCTCGTTCCAAAGGGACCGACAACTCTGCCCTGTGTGACTCCGGCCGATTCAGCGGCCACAGTTAAACATCCTCTAGTGGTTAGGAGTGTGTCCATTTGGAACGGGAGTTAAATATCCGGTGTTACTGAAGAGCAACAGGGTTTGGGGGAGGTTGGCAAATCAAATGAAAAGAAAAACAACACTACATGTCTAGCGGTAGTGCTGAGAAAGAACAGAGGTGGTCGGACGTTGACCACACTCACCGGTGAAGGCGGGGCAGTACGCTGACTCACACCTGACAGAATGAGCTCTGAGTGTGTGTGTGTGTGTGTGTGTGTGTGTGTGGTGAGACTGGTATCTGGCCAGGATAGCTTCATGTTGTGTGTGAAACTTGGAATTATTGCAGAGAATAGTTGGAAACCTGGTGGGCTGCTTTGGAGGACGACGATGCCAATCAGCCTCAGCAGAGCCAGGGAACACATGTGGGGGAGGATGTTGTACAGGTGTATGTGAGATGCATGTGTGTGTGTGTGTGTGTGTGTGTGCTTTGAGAAAAGTAGGGACTTCTCATAAGAGCACACATTTGCGTTTCTTCTTAGGCTCTGGGGGCTCCAGTGCGGCCAATATCGCCTCATCAAACACATTCTTTAGGCCTTTCTGTGGACACAAACACACACACACGGGGTAAAGGAGCGGCACACACAGATGAAACTAAACAGGAGCAGAACATATTAAACAACAAAGTGGTGTCAAACTTCCTTTATAGTCCACAAGTCTTCACATACCTGCTGCTTATTTTACCACAAACATGTTGAGATTTTAAGTGATGGACCGACGCAAAGCAGAATATCGATGTTGGCATGAGAAGAAAATGTTGCATGGTCAGAGTTGTCAGGCTGGCTGGGTTTCCACCCAATTTTGCTAACAACTATTTGCCGTTTTTGAACATGTTTGGCTTGGGGCAAAGAAAAAAAAAAACACTTTTAAGTAGGTTGTTAAAGTTTGTCCTGCTTTTCACAACATTTGGTGGGTTTTTAGAAAAGTTTCAGAGGGACATTCTTTCCAAATACTTGTTGCTGTATAGAAGGAATGCACAAAACCTAATAAAATGAAGTGTTATTGCACTTAGTTAATTTATTGTTGAGTGCGACATTGTCAGTAATTAGTCTTTGGTTAATCAAGTATCACTATTTAGTAATATTGCAATCAAGAAATGCCAGGATAACATCATGATTTAAAAAGGACTTGGCGCCACCAAGAGTGTTCAAAGAGTTCAGCCTGTTGCAGTCCTGATGGGATCTGGTTCTGGTCAGAATGTCACAAACACGACCAAAAATGCTGTGAATCGTCACAAGTCTGGCTGCAGTCGATGACGTAAGGGACACAAAATTTTATAATATATATAAATATATCTCAACTTGAATTTCAGGCATGGTTTGATTTTCTTTTTTTAGCATTCAGAGTTTTTCCAGTTGGAAATGATTATGTCAGATGGACACATATTGCAGATTTGTGAATTAAATTGAATCAAAATCATACCGTGGCATACTTGTGATGTCAGATAAATGTTTATGGCTTCTATGAAACAGTGTGTGTGTGTGTGTGTGTGTGCGTGTGTGTGTGTGTGTGTGTGTGTGAAGGGAAAATGGAACGCTGCTGCCATGTGGAAGCTGGTTGGCAGCATTCAGGTGGATGAAGCTAAATATTCCAGCATTCCAGGAAGAAAAGCTGACAGAAGCATCAACAGACTCCCTGTAAGACCGGCCGAAACATTCAGCTGGAGCTAAAATGAAATACAAAGTTTATTCATTCATTAGAATAGACGCGTCAAAGTCCAGTCAGAAATCGTATTTAGAATCTGAGGAAACACTGGGAAAAACTTGAGTTAGCATCATTTTCAGTTGAGACAAATGAAGAGCTGTAGCTGTAACCTGAACTCTGTCCCAGTTTGGAAACCTATCTTCTTTACAGCTCACAACAATACTCAACTCTGATGGTCCATCACTTAAAATCCTAATAAATGCATTGAAGTTTGTGGTTATAATGGTATAAAATGTAAAAAAAATAAAAAATAAAATAAAATAAAAACATAAACAGGTGTTGCATATACTTTTGCAAGACACTAACTTAGCAAATGAAGGGAGTTTGGGGAAAAAAAAACAAAAATAATACAGATAGTTGCAAATCATTTGATCAACTCAGAAGTGTATCGAGGTGTGGGAGAGGCTTGGTGATCTGACTGCTGCTACGATCAGAGGCAGTGAGACAAGCAAGTGGAGGAAACAGAAAAACTCCTGAATCAGTGCAACGCAAAGGAAAAATGGCTGAAGGTCCCCCTCCCCCTGGTCAACTGAAAATACGTTTAAAAAAAAAAAAGTGTTTTGTGTAGAAACGGTAGTGCTGAGCTAAGTTAACATGGTGAACGTGTGGGTGTGTGTGTTTGATCTGACATCAGAAGCTCAGTCCTGTGAGGATTGATCGCCCAGACAGAGAAAGAAAGAAGCTTTTCAAACTGTACCCAACACTATCAGAACACTAAGTGTTGAGTGGTTTAAAGTCTAGTTCTGCAAAATAAAACTTTATGAACTTCATGTTCTGTTCATGAAACTTTTAGGCTGAAACGTCAACATTGTGTTTATGTGAAGCTTGGACATGTTGACAGATTTTACCTCACTGTGATTTCTCTTCCCAAACTACAAAAAGGTAGAAGACAAAATTCAGAACCTTTTTCCAACCTTCCCATTTAATCAATAATATTAGGAGAAGATTTCTTAAGATTTCCAAATCCAGCTTGTTTCATAACGGAGGTTCAAAGTTTAGAAACCTTCCCGTTATCTGCTTAAAGTCTGCGTTCTCTCTGGAAGCCTGAGTGAACCACAGATATTTAAACTTCCTTATATCTACACTCTTGCTTCTGTTTCATTATGAACACGTCACTGGCTATGTTTCCATCCAACTGTCAAGGAAATTTTGAGCCAACTTTTGAAATGCCACAAAGAGAGAAAAAGAAAATATGAATTAGGTTTCTGTTTCTATTTTTTTACTGGTTCAGAGCGAACAATTCAAAACGTAAAGTTAGTCACATGTTGACGTTACAAATAGGAAGTAGAAACTAGAATGGATCAGACATCTTAGCAAAATGGAGAGGTTTTCAGGAACGTGTTGCTATCAGGTAAGTAGGACTTGTTCTGTTACGTCAGCTAGTGTCGGCGACATAGAGAAAGAAACGCATTCCTAATGAGTCTAAGTGGAAACAGCTCATCAGTCAGGTGAGGTAAACGTTTGCTACATCAGAACGTTTTCTGTAAATGTCTTTTCATCTCCACTTTAGCACATTAACTCTACTAACTTCAGAGCAGCCAAAAACCACCTTAAGGGAGCAGGAAAACATTTTTGCAGAATTGAGGAAGTTATTTCAAATTTTTAACATTTCCATCAACATTTCCTAAACCAATACTTTCAAATGCATGAAAAAAAAAAAAAAAAAAGGATTGATGGAAATTTACTGATGGTGAAGAAAGCTAACTTAAGGTCTTCTTTTGCCAGTAACAACCTCCACACAAGAGTTTTGCCGTTGCTGTGACCTCGGAGTTCAGAACCGTCCCATCGCCAGCTGACTTCTCAGAACACCTCCGTTAGAAACAGAAAGTGTTGCTTCCTGTTCCATTCTGACCCAGCAAGACATCCTTCTGACCTTAATTAGAACCAGCTGACGCAAAAGCTCAAGCTGACAAGGAAAGGGCCAACGTCAGCCCTACATGCCGATGAACAAACATTAGCAACGCTGCACCATCTGAGAATACATGATGAACAATGGAAGAGAGAGAAGGCGGGATGAGGAATGTAGAGGAGGTAACTAACGGCAACCAGAAGAGGAAAAGACGAGAGCCGTGGCCCAGAGAGATTAAAACACACAGCACTTCCGCTTTCTCTGAGTCTCAGGTGGCTCTAGGGCAGCTAGGATAGCTTCATCAAAAACATTCTTCAGTCCTCGCTACAACGACAGAAGAGGACAGAAAACAGTGGTTAGTAACCAGGGCAACGGGATGGATGAGAGGATTAGAGGAACATGGCAGAGTGAGGAGGGAAGTGAATGAAAACAGAGGGAGGAAAGCTGCTGGGTCAGATGGAGCAGAGATGGAGGATCACATGCAGCTGGGTGAGGGCTGAGATTAGCAACAGGACACAGGAAGTGACATTAGCAGCCATGTAAGCATTATGTCAAATAGAGGAGGAAGGAAGGAGTGGAGCACCGAAACCGAGGCTACGCCTTGGTTTCATCAACACTATTGTTCTCTGGCCATGTGAGGTCATGTGTGTTCCCTTCCTTCTGGAGTTCTGCAGTCCAGCCGGGACTGGGACAGCTCTCTGGACCTGCTGACTGTCCAACGAGGACACGCCTTATGGTCTGTCCACTCTGCTGTACAGATCTCTTCTAGAATAAACCAGTATTTCTGCCTCCTTGTTAGTGATTTGTGTTGACAGGAGAAACTAAACAGAAGATGATAAAAGCAAAGATGTATTCAGAGGAGTCTCTGCTTTTCTCACACCAAACAACCAAATTTAACTCTGGGTGTTTTAACGCCTGATAATCCAATGGACTCTGTGGACTGGGGACAAAAGTTGAAACATTTGTTACATTTTCAGCTGATGTGGTTCTTTCGCACTCTATTAAACCATCCAAAGACATTACTAGAACTACTAAAGGAAAATCTCTGAATATAGCTTCCTTCTTCACAACGTGTAAGCAAAACTGGAGTGGCATCAGATTCTAGCTGTTGTACAATTTCTCTTTTGTCTTTGGTAAAAGTCTTGAAGCCATTTCTCCCACTAGGACTGGGTACACATGTTGGCATTGGCTGTATTTACCCAGAATGACTTGTGCCGTAGTCAGCTTCCAGCTTTTGGAGGGGTCACTGGCATGCTTGGCGTTCACATATGCATTCAAACCAGAGTTCAGTGAATTTTCTATCAGATGTATGATCTATTGATTTTGATCGAGTGTCTATCACAATATACTAGGATTTATTGTCCAGCCCTACTTAGTGAGGTCAGCATTTGACCTTTGTAGCCTGGCATGCAGAATAAACCCATCCACTACAGCATGCAGCAGGCAGGGTGTGGGAGTGAACATGTTCCTCTTTCCTCCACTTTCTTTCTTCTTGCCTTTGATATTTCAGCTCAGCCAATCTAGCAGTGTGTGACGGTACATTAAGTGTGTTTCTGTGCAAAGGTACCTGTGTGAGGGCTGAGCACTCCACATATTTAACTGCCTTGAGGTCTCTTGCCAGCTTCTCTGCAGTCTCTGGGGTGATGGGCTTCTGCTTGTTCTTGGCCAGCTTCTCTATAGTGGACGGGTCGTCCCTCAAGTCGATCTGCGTCCCGACTAGAAGGAAGGGCGTCTTTGGACAGTGGTGGGTAATCTCAGGAACCCACTGTGGAAACACAAGAGGCTAGGATCTATAGCAAGGCAATGCTGACTTACTGACACAAAGTGTTCATATTGTATTCGTTGCTAAAAGGTGTCCAAAACATTATCTACTGTTTCTGACAGACGAGTGGGAACAACAATGGAAACCCCTTCCATACTGGCATTTGGTCCCAGTAAGAGTTACCACTGCATCAGGGTGGGCAATACAGACTTAAAAGTCTTATCACAATACTAAGTACAGTGATGATATGAATGACTTATTATTTCTTTTTTAGGTAGCTTTGGGTATGGCTGTGACTGAATGTGTAATACTTTTCTTTAGGACACCAGTCACATAAAGAAGAGTGATTTATAACACTAAACTGCACACAGCATTAATCTGGGTTTTTTTTTCCAAATCTGTTGTCATTTATTGATACTTGAATTGAAAAAAAAAAAAGTAAAACTAACAATTCCAACAATAGAGACAGTTTTGGGGGATTTAAGTAATAATTAAAATTTACCGTGACAATGATTAATCAAAATTCTTAAACTAAGAAATTCAACACAATAAATGATAAACAATATGATAAATGCCCACACCTGACATTGCATGTTGATTTATTTTTCTTACTACTAAGAAGCTTTGATGGAAAATAGGAACAAATAATAACATTCAAATTTCACCAATAATTCAATTTGACTTTTATATTACACTTCATTTCCACTGTTTGGGCCGTTTGACTCTGATGACATATGACAGTGACCAAACCCAATTAATCACAAGCAGCTTCTGGCAGATATTAATTGGAGACATCTGACCAAAGTTTTGTACAGAGAATATAGATGTTAAATGTAAATTCTTGGTCATCAAAGATGTTATGAAACATCCCCAAAATGCTTATGAATCGTCTCATATTAAATATCAACCCATAGTAGATACTTCTTTGTCAACACTACAAACGTGGGTGCACCGACTGCAGTGTCCTGGATGATCACTGATCTTTAAAAACCCTAATTTGCTGATTCTGATTCTAGTCTATCACTTTTTTTGCCTGAAAAGTTGCTAAATATAGCAACAAAATTGATGAGAGTACAGCTGGGAATTTATTGCAAATATTATGTGTGTACAATTTTACAAAAGAACATGAAGTCTATTTATCTTTATATATATGTTTACATATAAAAATAGTTACCTTTTCTTTGACATTTTCAAAGGAGGAAGGGGACACGACTGAAAAACAGACGAGGAAGACATCTGTCTGGGGATAACTCAAAGGACGTAACCTGTCGTAGTCTTCTTGACCTGCAGGAACCAAAAAAACACATCCACTCACACTGGTAAGTCTTAAAACTCATCAAACTAGATATTTACACAAGTTTGCATGTGGATTTGTGGATGAGCTTTGAAAAAGCCCCTTTCCATTTTAAGCAGTTTTATTTACTTAGACTGCACATTCAAA